TTTATTCTCAGGCTTATAGTTATGAATCCATGTCTCATCACCAGTAACATTTTTTTTTAAAAAAGAAACCTTTACCTGCCTTGGAGTATTGGCCCAAATTTTGTTCGCAGATATCTAAACAATTCTGTTTATGCTCTTTAGTGAGTCGCAAAATCTTTTGGAAATCGAAGTCTATAATGGATAATTTCTTAGGCAGAGCCATAACTGATTTGCAAATGACTTGCCACATAATCTACTGTCAGTTGTCTATTTGATAGAATTGTTTTACGTGCATGCTCAATGTTGTCATAAGCTGTGGACATGAACAGACATTTTAATGTAGCCAGAGTGTGGATAATTTTTGACTCACTCTCATATATTTGAAGTCAATATTATGGTATTAAAATAAATTTTACCTTTATTTTTATTAGTGGCATTGTTGTACTATTTGTGTGTCGTGGGAACTTGGGTCACTTGCATGTTCAAGGGTGCCAAAAAGACAATGATATCCACAGACATTGACATACATTCAACTAGGGTGCTCTGGTAGCGTAGTGGTTACAAATCGGGCTGTGAACCTTAAGGTGAGCAGTTTGAACTACCAGCTGCTCTGTGGGAGAAAGATGAGGCTTTCTACTCCCTTAAAGATTTACACCCTCGGAAACCCTGTACAGGGTCGCTATGAGTCAGAACCGACTCCATGGCACATAACAACAACGACATTGGGCCTTATGTGGGTCAAAGCCAAATTAACTAGCAACTTTGGACTGAAGCTGGACTTCAGTTAAATTAATTGTAGTATTTATTTCAGTTGAACAAAAGTCTATTAAGAAGTCTAAAAGTCTAGGCATCTGGTTTACTTTAGGATTATAAAGATGCTGAAGTTTAAGAGGATCATGTTTTATTTAAATTTGGATAACTCAGCTTATTTACCCATCATCTTAGCCAATTTAAAATAGTTCAAATCTCTACTCCAACTTGATGCAAGAAGTCCAATATTTTATCAGCTTGCCTTTCCCAAGCATTTCTTTGATTCCCTGAGATATATCAAGTCAGTTGTTCCACATCTTACCCAACTTCCTGGTTTGAGACCACTGCGTCCCTCTTGTAAAGGACACTAGCATCCTGCTGCTCTTATCCTTCCCTCTATGGTGTCCTTCCCAGACTCTCTCCCAGTTCACCAGAATGATAACAGGCTCAGCTGTGATATCTTAGGGATTAGAAAAAAAGGAGAACTCTTCTGTTGTCACTTGTTGTTGTTGTTGTCAGGTGCCATCGAGTCAGAACTGACTCATAGTGACCCCATACACAGCAGAACTAAACAATGTCCGATCCTAGGCCAACCTCACCACCGCTGCCACACTTGAGTCCATCAGTGATGCCACCTGGCTGATCCATCTTGTTGGGGGTCTTCCTCTTTTTCTCTGACCCTCCACCTTACCCAGCATGACATCCTTCTCCAGCGACTGTTTCCTCCAGACAATATATCCAAAGTATGAGAGATGAAGCTTAGCCATCCTGGCCTCCAAGGAGCACTCTGGCTGCACTTCTTCCAAAACACATCTATTGGTTCTTTTGGCAGTCCATGGCACTATCTGTTGTCACTAGATACTAGCAATTTCTGAGTTCACAAAAGAAAGCCCTCTGTTGTGCGGGTTCTCTGTTGTGCAGTCCCTTCTGTTGAGCCTCTGGCTTGTTACCATGTTTCAGAAGGCTCAGGAATGCCCTGGAGCTAGTATCCCCTTTGGATCACAGTCCAGAAAGAGGAAACCGATTTCACTTTCATGCCCGTTACAGTCTCTTCTTCTGAGTTTCTAGTTCCTGTTTCCATTAGTCTTTTGCAGTTACTGGGTGGTAACAGTCAAAGCTCTCACTGCTAACTAAGCGATTGGAGGTTCAAGCCACCTAGAGGCATCTCAGAAGAAAGGGCTGATGATCTAATTTCAAACAACAGTCATTGATGCATAGTTCAATTGCCATCAGTCAGAACTGACTCAGCAACCTGCATAAGATTGAAACAGCTTCTAAACAGTTTTTCCTCTTAACTCTGCCCCACAACATTGAATTCAGATCTTTCTCTTTATCCAAGGGAGATAAATTTCTAGCTTTAACGGCAGCTTTATTTACCCAGCCATGGTATCAGTATCTCTTGAGATTCCCACTAGGCCAGATCACTGCGTTATAATCTCTTACCAGCACTCTGCAAAATACTAGTAGATGTTCAGAAAAAGAAAAAATGAGACATCTGAACAGGTAGTGACATCAAGTTGTTACTGTTTTTAAGTGTTGTTTAGTGGATTCCAAGTCATAGTGACCCTGTGTAGGGTTTCCAAGCACCGACTGGTGAGTTTGAACTGCTGACCTTGCTGTTAGCAGTCCAGTGCTGATGCTACTATGTCACACCAGACCCTTAAACTTATATTGTTGTTGTTGTTAAATGCCATCAAGTCAATTCTGACCCATAGCAACCCTGTACAGGGTTTCCAAGGGTGTAAATCTTTATAGATATAGAGAAATTGCTCATGTTCCCTACCTACTGGAGCAGGTCTGTGTTAAACAACATGAATATATTCCTCCAATTGTGTAGCAGACATGTCTCTACCTTTGCATTAAAGTTTCTTGTTACTTTCAAATCATTATTTGTAAAACAAAATATTTAGATAACTATACAGACCAGGAATTAGATTCCTAAGGTATTATCTCCCAATCATTTAAAATCACTCTTTTAAATATATCACTAACTCTCAGTCCACTGAGTTTGGATCTCATTAGCTCTGTTCCCCAAAAGCAGAAACTCAAGGATCAACCATTTCTCATTCCTTGACTTGCACCAAAATAGCTCGTTTTTACAGAAATGTTGACTTACTGGCCATCTAATCTGATAAAAGACTGCACAGAGCATAGAATATGGAGTCCAGTTGTCCTGAGTTCTCTTAACACTCAGACAAACTGTAGCGGATGTTTAAAGCAAAATGCTGCCCAGGACTGAAATCGAATATCACAGAAGGTCCTTCTGCTCCATGCAAGTGAAACATACCATTTAAATACTCTGATAATGAACTTTAAAATAGAAAAATGGTTCTTTCCTTCTACTTAAACTCACAGTTACTGCATTCTTGGCTAGAAAGTTCACATTATAAAAATTATAATATCTAATGTATTATAAGTCTAGATGTTATATCATCTCAGGCCAAAAGTTGGAGATTGAGACTGCATCTTGACTTTCTACCACCTCTCAGTCCTTCTTCCAAGACCTATGGAACAAAATATATTCAGCTTATAAGTGGCTGTTATCAGGAGCAGAACTTGTTTTTCCCCTAAAAGGGGAGTAAGTGTGATGAAGCTAAATCTAGGACTAGTAAACTGAGACTTAATAGACTGAACTTGCATTCCCCTGATATCCTGACCTTCCCAGGTTGGCCTATGAATGTGGTGTGGAAGTTAGAGGGGATCATTTTCAAATGAGAGTAACTGAGGGGTTTTTTTGTTTTGTTTTTGTATTTCTGGGAATAATTATTTATTTATCTAGTCTAGTAGCACCAGAATCTGCAAAAAAAAAAAAAAAAAACCCAACCTTTACACACAGGATGAGAAAACTAAAATATTAACATTCTTCTTCAGTTTTTATTTAAGCTCTGCAGTATGGAACATATATAAGAAAACCAAACAAACAAAAAAGAGTAACTTGGGAGGAAGATAAAACAGGCATGAAAGCTTAGAAAGGAAACTGGTATCTTTAGAGAGCATAGGAGAATTCTAGAATAACCATTCATTTTAGTTTAAAGGGTTCTTTCTTCCTAATTAGAGTGTGCATATTCACATAAATGATAAGGACTGGACTGTGATCTACAAGTTCCATGGTGTGAGCCCACCAGTCTCTGAGGAATAAACATGAGGCTTTCTGCTCCCACGATGATTGAAAGCCTCAAAAACCCTACACAAGGGCGCTGTGAGTCAGAACCAACTTGACTTAGCAACAACAATAACAACAAAGTATAATTTATTTCCTGGATGAGTGACAAGTAAATTGTACAAGTAAATTGGCTTAATCTTTTACTAGATAACACAAAAAAAGCAGACTTTTTTTTAGATTTCAAATCTTAGAATGAATTATGAAGTATTGCCTTCTTCTTTGAAATCCAAACCAAACTCATTGCTCTTGATTCTGACTTTACCCTAATGTAAAGTACTTATAACATGAGACAGATAGGTTTTGCATATCAGAATTAGAAATATTCTAACCGTCCTCTGCAGGATATATTTCATTTGTGGTATATGGCAAATATGAAACTTGACAAATTAATATATGTTCTCATAAAGCAGATCTTGGCTTTAATTCAATATCTTTCTTTATGGTTATTCCCTGTGCTGGGATTCACTTTCTGAGTTGTAAACATTTGATTTAGGAACAACACAAATAGGGACTCATCTTTGGTTGCTTCTTCCTTTCCACAGAATTCCAAGTTAACTTGGATCAATAGAACTACTCAAAGATTGGGGTACATAGCAGATAGACCAATATCCTTTAATGCCTCTCCATTTTCACCGTAGGCAGAAATCCCTCACAAACTGTGATCCTTCCTTTGTCTTCATCCCTCATCACATAGTAGTATTCCAACTCAGCCAATTCTTTCTTGTGTATTTCTGTTCTCTTAGTTTCTGCCTAGTCAGTCCCTGAGATTTGCTTTCCCCTTTCTCCTATATGAGCCTTTTCATTCTAGTTGAGAACAAAAATCATTGTCATAATCACACTAAGTATGAAAACACTGGTAAATAAAATGAAAAAGTATTCTAAAGTGAAATTGAACAAAAGAAAAAGTCATTCTTAATCATCCAGGTTTCTTGAGGACTGAAAAAAAACCTTTGAAATGTTAATTTAGATTATGGTCCATCACAATACCATTTACATAAGTTTATTTAAATATCAGTTCTTAAAGATATCTTTTTCTGTTTTATTCTTTTTTCTATTTTTCAGTTACTAGTTTACCATAGCATTGCATTTCTGTTATTTTGTATTGCAGATGGTCTGTATTTCAACTTCATCAGAGATTAAATTGATGTTTATGGGCTAATCTGGAGATCTACAAATCATTAATCTCACTACTTCCACAAGAAAATATGTTCAAATTCCCATCAGTTGACTTATAACGGGACGTTTGGAACACGACTCAATGTAAGTTACAGACATACTGTGTTTCGGTCTTTGTTATTCACTTCCTCTTTCCAGGTTAGAGCACATAATCTGTTTGCATGTGTGCAGGTATGTGTGTGTGTTGGATATACATATGTACCTACACACACATCCAAATGGTTCTGGGTTTATAACATCATTTATTCTTCACTTTCTTCCTTCTTTGTTTCCTCCCTTCACTCATCCTTCCTACTTCCTTCCCACAGATATTTGAATGACTACTATGTGAAAGGTGCAAATTCTCAGCTAAGAAATAGCCAGAGTCAAGGCCATTGACCTCCTAGAGCTTTTACTCCAGCAGGGAGACAGGCCTAAATAGCTACCCAAATCTATGTGAAATGTAAACCCTGGTAAGCTTCATGAAGGGAGGTCACAGCACACTATGTGAACATGTAGTTAGGACCTCCACGTCCAAATAGGTCCCTTGGATGGAATGATTCTTCAGAAAAAATTTATGATGGAGCCCAAGTTAAAAGGGTCAAGAGGGAAAAAGATGATGGGAGGAGGAGAAGCGGAGGGTAGAAAGTACTCCAGACAGAAGGATTGGCCACTGGGTAGCTAGGAGAACTTTTAACTTAAACCATACCATGGAAATGAATTGTAATCATACTAAAATGCAACAAGGCACATGTAATTTTACAGGAAGTTTTACTGTTGGTTTTGTTGTTGTTGTTTCAGATATGAAGTACCCTTTAAGCCCTGACAACCACCTTGAAGATGGAATTATAAATATGGCAACTTTTCTACAGGGCTTTGAAGAAAAGGGAATAAGGAACGACAATTCTGAGGACCAGTTGAGTAAAGAGAAGAAGAAAATTCTGTTCTCTTTCTGTGAGGTGTGCAACATCCAGCTGAACTCTGCAGCCCAGGCCCAGGTCCACTACAATGGCAGATCCCACCGCAAGCGGGTAAAGCAACTGAGTAATGGGCAGCCCCTACCCCCAGCCCAGGGCTTGGGACTACCCCTGGCTTGCCCCAGCACCAACACCAGCACAGGTAGGAAGGAGCACCTGGGGGTTCCATTGACTTTTGGGAGAAGATGGTCTGTGCTTAGCAAATAAAGGTTTCAGGGCAAGACTTGTCTTTGACCTTAAACTATCATCACAGTAATATGCACTCCTTTTCATACAGGCATCAACTAGCTGTTTGTCACTTCTCAGTATATCTATTATTGTTGGATACATATCTGTCTCTATATGTGTAATACAACATTTATACATTGGACTATAAACTTCCTACATCCTCATGGTGTGTGAACCTTTCCTAATACATTTTGAAATGTGTTTAAAATAGATCAGTGATACCAAAATTTTTTCTTATTGGATAACGTATTACTGGATGTTATATAAAAAGTTCCAGCCTTATTTATAACATCTCATCATGCTGGAAAGAAGCATTAATCTTGCCTGTGAAAGTTGTCACATTCTTTTAAGTGAGTGCCAGCAGGGTGCTGGTAATGTTCCAACAATAGGCATTGTTATTGTTGTTAAGTGCCGTAATGTGAGTTCTGACTCATAGTGTCCCTGTCTAGGGTTTCCAAGGAGCAGCTGGTGGGTTTGAACTACTGACCTTGGGGTTAGCAGTCCAGTGCTTATTTTATCCAATAGGCATTATTGTTGTTAAGTGCCGTTGAGTCGGTTCCTACTCATAGCAACCCTGTATAGGGTTCCCAAGGAGCAGTTGGAGAGTTTGAACTGCCAATCTTGTGGTCCAGTGCTTTATCCCACAGCACAGTGCCAAACCTAACAGTGCTCACTTGTGAGTGCAGACCCTGGTCATCACTTGCATTTGCCTCTCACTTTTTCCTTTGGGCTGATAGAGGCAGAAACTTAGGCATTTTGGCATTCCAGCAGTTGTCCTGACTTCTAAAACAGTCTTTCAAACCTTTTATCTTATCCTTGGACAACCTTTCCTGCTCCACATTGCTGACCATTGGATGCCTTCACTGTAGCAGAACTAGAGAAAAATGTAAAATGCACTGTTAATTGTGATGAAGATATCCACAAAACTGTGGTCATCCTACCCAGGCTTATGAGAGACCAAAGAAGAGTCTCCTTCAAACTTGGTAGAAGAGCTCCAAATCCCACTCTAGCAAGTATTTCCTCTGGTAATGAGGCCTTGACTTGAAGTTAGATGACAAAGAAACTGCTTGTTGACATTTCACTCAGCATTGTCATATAGTTCTTGATTTTGCAAAGTTATGCTATGATCCACATTAAACTTCAGTGAAATTTGTGTTGGTATTTGTACTGGTATTCGTGTCAGTATTTGTCTGTAAAGGACAAGAGGGATCTTTATGTTTTAAGTTAAAACCTAGTAGAAAGGTTAAGTACATTATACTGCAGTATAAGATGAATATAAATGAAAGCCATTGCTGTAGAGCCCGTTTTGACTCCTAGGAAGCCTGTGGGACGGACGGAGTAGGATCGCTCCATAGGGGTTCCAAGACTGCAAATAACTATGGAAGCAGACTGCTCCATGTTCCTTCCATGTAGTGGCTGGTAGGGTTAAACCACTGATCATTTGGCAAGCCACCAAGTGCTTAGCCACGGCAACACTATGGTTCTTCTAGATGATTGATAAGAACTGTAGCCATAAAAAAAAAGATATTTCTGAAGAATACCTAAGAATGGGACAATCATCCATGACATAGTGCTAAGCAGAACAGCAGGATATAAAGCAAATAGACCTGAATGCTGTTCTGTGTGTACATGCATCCGTATCTACTACTTAGAGTCTCAATTCAGTGAGGTACCAACCTGACATGGTTTTATTTTTCCAATCATTTCTCTTAGCTTTGATCTATATAAATTGTGTTTCCTGCTGGGTAGCAGCTCCCTTAACACCCTCTCAGTCCATAACTTCTCACTTTTGTATACTCAGAAGGAGTCTTTCTGATTTAGAAGATTCAGTTCTGTTTGTATAAGTATCCATCTCATAGCTGAGTTAAGTGTTGGCTACACAAACTCTGGAGTCCTGGTGCAGTGCTTCGGGTTAATGCGCTGGACTGCAAAGTTGGTTTGAACCATAAAGTTGGCGGTTCAAGCTCACCAGTCACTCTTCAGAAACCCTATGCAGGTTTGCTATGGGTGGGAACTGACTCAATGGTATATAACAACAACAATCTTTATGGGAGTCCTGGTGTGGCACTGTAGGACAAGCACTGGACTGCTAATTACAGGGTTGATGGTTCAAACCCACAGCAAATCTTCAGAAACTGTATACAAGGTTGCTTATGCATCCAAACTAACTCTAGGGCACTTAACAAAAACAACAACAATTTTTATGGAAATTGACTGCCACATCTTTCTCTTGTGGGTTGACTGGTGTGTTCAATATGCTCAACCTTTCATTGAGCAGTGGATTGCTTAGTCTCTGGGTCATTGTCAAATGCAAGACCAGTAAGATATATTCTCACATTCTCGTCTAAGTTTTATAGCTTTACAGCTTATAGTTAACCTTTGTGTAGGTAGGTTTACTAAGTATGTTCTATGAATAAGTGAATGTGATTTGTCAATCTGATTCTCTTTTATGCAGTAGAGTCCTGGTATGGTGCTGTGGGTTCATGCACTGGACTGCAAAGGTAGTTTGAACTTCAAAGTTCATGGTTCAAACTCAACAGTTGCTCCTCGGGAACCCTATACAGGTTCACTATGGGTCAGAACCAACTCGACGGCACTTAACAACAACAACACAAACTCTAATGAATCCTGGTAGCATAGTAGATTATGAGCTGGGCTAATCCCAAGGTCAGAAGTTTGAATCTACCAGTCTGTGGGAGAAAGAGGAGGCTTTCTGCTCCTGCAAAGGTTTCCAGCCTCGAAAACCCTATACGGGCTCACAGCCACCACCAAACTCTGGCACTGAGACTAGAGGGTGGGGACACAGCCTGCTGTGACTCTGCAACACCTCAACAGCGGCCCCACCCTTTGCCACTGGTCATGGTGGGATGGAGGAGGGGTAGAGGTTGTCTTGCCTGGCAGCCTTGGCTGATGTCTGCCTTGAGGATTGTTAATTTGGCTGTTGCTGGAGGTCATAGATGGTCCTAACAGACCCTGTGGGTGAGAGGATTCCTCCAATGGTTCCTTGGCTAGTAGCATTAAAAAAAAAAACAACAATGTCAATCTTTTCCTTCTGCTCATGTCTTCCTCAAAGGGGAAAACTGTGTACAAGCAGTGCTCTGATTATGAATGAGTTCTATTTCTAAACCTCTTGGAGTTGAATTTGTATAAGAACAGTTAGATATGGTTCATATCTAACATCAGTCAGTCAAATGTTTGTCGTACTATATAGTATATGGTGTGCACTTGTATACATAAAACATAAAGAAATGCTTCCAGATACCTTAAAGCATTCTGCTACCTCAAAGATGTAAAGTCTCAAAAACTCTGTGAGTTACAAACTGACTTGAGGGCATTTAACAACAACAATAACAATAAAGTTTTGATATGCCTCACAAAATAGTGCTCATTTGTTATTAGGAACCTTTATATGTATCTGGAATTTTATTATAATAGGCTTTGCATGGGTTGGTTCTTACCTGTGGGTTATTTGTAAGTAGGACTGGTAACCCAGGCAGGAACTGTCTATAGTAGAGATAATCTTTCCATGAAATGTTAACTTAATAAAGTAATGTTCTGTTGCTCCTGCCTGTGTTTTCTTATAGTAATGACACTGACAAGGGTGGAGTGGGGATTACATGATAATGTTTGAGGCTTGATCAGTTTTTCTAAATAAAGACGACTCCCCCAAAGTCCTAGGGAGTTGTGACTGACCCTTACCAACTGGGAGATTTTTCTCTGATCTTAAAATTCAGTGTGTTTCAAAACATTTACATCTCAGCTTCTGGAACAATAAGAAGATTTCTACCTGCCAACTAAAACTGCTGTGTGTGTATAAGTTTATAAAAGTTTCCTTTTCTTTTTTCATGAGAGAAGGAATCTTGATGAGTAGCAGGAGAATTTCTTTTCCAGCTCTGTCACTCCGGCTGCAGAAAGGAGAATAAAAGGGGGAGCAAAGAAAGCTTAGATAGTTTGGTCTGCATGAGTAGAAGAAACTCTCCTCCTTCCCCAATCTAGTCCCAGAAACCACAGACTTGTCTAGTGTCTGGACATAGTTGTGTGCTTCCATCAAAGATAGTAATTATGACTCTGGTGTTCCTGGACTAAGAAAGGTTGGGTAGTCTCATGGTCTGTGGGGTTAATGAGCTGGGTGAGCCTAGGAACCACCAAGACACACCTGGAGGAGCCAGGAAACAGCATTTCCTGCAGATGAATTGGGGGCAGTGGCAAGAGAACGTTTCCTGTGTGCCGGGACTGGTCCCTCATAGTTGGAAACAAGGGTCCATCCCATGGTACCTGCAGCAGCTCATAACCAAATGCCAGATGGAAAGAAGAATGTGTCAGCATTGTCTGTGTGTAGAAATGACAACCAGGCCATAAATTTACCTGTGCTGTGGTATCTTATAGTCTGTAAGTATTCGCTGCACCCTACCATAAATCTCGATTCAACTCTGGGGAATCAGACCCACTAAATGGCCTGAAATGAAGTTTTTATTAACACATGTGGGATGGGGTTTGTCTTAGAAATTGCTCTGGTAGCGTAGTGGTTACGAATCGGGCTGCGAACCTTCAGGTCAGCGGTTCGAAACTACCAGCCGCTCCGCGGGAGAAAGATGAGGCTTTCTACTCCTGTAAAGATTTACACCCTCGGAAACCCTGTACAGGGTCGCTATGGGTCGGAACCGACTCCATGGCACTTAACAACAACAACAACAATAAAAACACTTGGATTTCTTCTCAGTCTCGGCTTGTAATTGAGACCCACATTCCTTTTGTTATTAATAATGAAAGTAAATACAGAATTCAGGAGTGAAATCACGTAAATCTAGAGAGTTCAGAGTTGTAAATCAGAAAGTGTATTGTGCAATAGGGTCTTTCTGTGCAGTGTGCCATTGGCATTTATTATTGAATCACACAGTCAAGGCATTTTATGAA